TATGAACATATGTGAATAAGATATGACATGTGTGTTTACATGAAAAATGAGAAATGATATAATCCATATGAAATGATCTACGTGATTACATGTAATACGTGATTACATGCACTTGAGATAAAGGTTATATGATATGAGATGTATGTTCACACATACATATGGTATGTGACAGAAGAAAAGGAACAAGTGACATGAAACATAAGAATAATGCCCATAGTATATGATATGAGAGCTATAGGTATAGTTGGCATGCCAAGAGTCGAGGGTTCTACGTGGTCCTTCGGGACATGTATGTAATTATGTGGAACCTATATGTAGTACTTCGGTACACTTATTGGAGCCATTGTATTATGTATGTGGTTCTTAAGGAGTAGTCCTTCGGGACATAGTGGTCCTACGGGACATATACAGTGGTCCTTCGGGACATAGTGGTCCTACGGGACGAATACTGAACTAAGGTTCGGTGTCCAATGAGGGAATTGATACGAGCTGTGGTGACAACATTAGTGCACAACCTCAATGTACTCACATACCTCTATTCTCAATAATATACATGGGCAATTGAAATATAAACTTTAAAGTGAAAGTGGTACAAGAAGGTAAGTTTCGTATGTGCATGATATGATTATATATGTTATCGTGTAATAGATACATGCATATTGAAATGTCATGATCAAATGTTTAGAATACATATTCATCGGATGAAATGGGTATTGATTGTAAAAATGTATGATATTATATGATAGATATGTTAATGATAATGATAGTATTTGTACAGGTATGTGTTTTGTTATATGAAATGTTCGATGATTTTTATTATATGTTTATATGCCTCACTAAGTCAACGACTTAGCGTGTGATTGTTTCACACGTAGGTTTCGAGAAGAGTAAAGAGCAATATGGAACAAGACATGTCAGTTACTTCTTACCGAAGATCAGATCAGAAAAGATGTTTTGAATTAGATGTATTCTGTACATTGAAAATGGTTGGCATGTAAGTAAATGTGTGAATTGTATATGCACTGAACGGTTTTGCAAAAACATTTAAGCTCTGAATAGTTCTGGAAATCTTTTGAATAAGCTATATGTATAAATGTTTTAAATTACTCACTATTTTATACAAGTAAATGGTTTGAAAAAGTCAATGTGACACCTCGGACTCGAATCCAGGTCGGGTACGGGTGGGGGTGTTACAGAATGAATAGTTTAAAGATTTATATGTAAATGATTGTGTAGGATTGAATTGAAAGGAAGAAGGAATGGAAGGGCAAAAGAGTCATTTGCAAGGAAAATTAATTAAAGAAGGGATAAGGATATATATATGAGTACAAGTGGGATGAAAAGAAGAGAACACCAAAGCCTTCTAGAGTTATCTTCTTCTTCTTTCTTCCTTGTACGTGTGAACCAAAGCAAAGGTAAGATTTCTGATTATTGAGTTTCTTGTTAAATTTAATATTGGGTTTTGATTATTAGATGATAACTAAGTTTAAGGAAAGCTTAAGTTATCTTAACATCAAAGGATGATTGAGTTAGGAGAGATTTAAGATTTGAAGTTCTTAAATGAAATCTTGGAATATAGTTCATAACTAGAATTGAAAGTTATATTTGACTTGTCATCAATCTAGTTAAGATATACGAAGTGTTAAAAACGGAATTCAAACATGTTGATTTATTAATGTAATTCTTGAATTACATATGAAGGATAGGATTTGAAGGTTTAAGATGAAATAAATGAGTATAAATTGATTTAAGGATGTGTACTAGAATTAAGAATGAAAAAGGGGATTAAACATGAAGGATTTAATCCAAAATGAATGAACTTTCGGGTTCAAAAAGATGATTCTAGGAAGAGTGCACCGATGCACATTCATAGTGCATCGATGCATCAAGGTTAAAACCCAGAAATTGTTTGAATGTGCACCGATGCATTGGTAGTGCATCGATGCACTCTTTTAAAATAAAAACATCGAATGCAATTCATGCATCGATGCATAAGTAGTGCATCGATGTATCCCATTAATAGTGAAACATCGATGCATCCCAGCAATAATACTACATCGAATACCTTTTATGCACCGATGCATCAGTAGTGCATCGATGCATACCTTTATTAAAAGATGAAATAGACTTTTCTCTTAGTCTAAAGAGTGAATCATTAGAGTATATTAGTTATAATACTGATATAGATCCATGTGCGATTATGTAGATACTAAAAGTAAGCTTATTTCGGAACGATCAAAGGATTAGAATCGAATCAAAGCAAAGCTAAGGTAAGTGCATACTATATGTATATTATAATGGAATAAGACTTGTGATAAGTCTAATCCCTATGTTGATTTTTATAATACAGTAGTTGTGAACATGCATTCATGATAATTATTGTGATACATGCATAAGATATATATATGTTCATGTGATATGATATGTGATATGACATGTGATATGAGAACATGATGTGAAGTGACATGAGCTACATGATCACAAGAGAAATGACATGAGCTACATGATCACAAGAGAAATGACATGAGCTACATGATCACAAGAGAAATGACATAAGTACATGAACATATGAAAAATAAGAATAATGCCCATAGTATACGATATGAGAATTATAGGTGTAATTGGCATGCCAAGAGTCGAGGGTATAATAGTCCTCCGGGACGTAGTCCTTCGGGATGTAGGAGTCCTACGGGACGAATACTGAACTAAGGTTCGGTGCCCCATGAGGGAATAGATACGAGCTGTGGTGACATCATTAGTGCACAACCTCAATGCACTCACATACCTCTAATCTCAATAAGATACATGGGCTATGCAATTGAAATACCGATTTACAGTGAAAGCGATACAAGAAGGTAAGTTTCGTATGTGCATTATATGTTATCGTGCGATAGATACATGCATATTGAAATGTCATGATCCAATTGTAAGTATGAACATTCATAAGTTTATTGTTGCATATTCATTTATTGCCTCACTAAGTGTAAGTGATTTACACGTAGGTACCAAGAATTAGGAAAAGTGGAAATAGAAGTAGCACAGACAACAATACTACTAAGAGATCAGATCAAAAGTAATTGACAAAGTATGTACTTGGTTATGTATAGAGTGTTGGCATGTAATAAGTGTTAATTACGAATACTATGATCGATTTTGTATTTTATGGTCTTATGTAAATTAAAGTATTTCGTTTTAATGAAAGTTTTAAAAATTCCCGGGATTTTCTATAAGAGTCAAGGTTTTGAAAAGTCAATGTGACACCTCAGACTTGTATTCGGGTCGGATATGAGTTAAGGGTGTTACACCTCTGAACTTCAATACCAAGGAAGTAGCTGAGGTCACCTAAATCTTTTAATAAGAAATGTTGACCAAGAAGTTGAACTACTTTGTCTATGTCATCAATAGATTCTCCTGTCAAGATTATATCATCAACGTAAACAAGCGCCATAGTTCATATTCCATTAACACTTCGAACAAATATGATGAATCAATGGATGTGCCTCGAAATCCCATCTCAAGAAGAAAATGATGTAGCTTGGAATACTGTAGATTTGTCTAGAAATTAAGTTGACAAGTTGGAAATTTCATCTTGGTTGGTGGCCAACTTATTGGAAATTTCATCTTGATTGGTGGCCAAACTTTGAACATGTGAATTTTATATTTGGTGGCTAACTTGTACACATTGGAAAATTCTTTGGTAGGTGGCCAAACTTTGAACATATTGTTCTTAAAACTCAACTATAAATAGGCATAAATATTTCCATTAGAAATCATCCCAAAAACAAGTTCTCTCTTCCTCTTGTATTCTTCATTCTCCCTCTTTGGGAATTCTAAAGAATTTCATTTGTTGTAATATTGGCGAAATAGTGAAGTTATCATCCAGTGTGGTGCCAGAGGAGTAGACGATATTCTCGTCGAACCTCGTAAATCTGGTGTGTTCTCTCCTTTATTATTTTTATTCGGTTCTTTTAAATTGTGTTTCAATATTCAATAGTTTGATAGGTTTATCCGCTGTGCAACCTTTGGTGGTTTTAATCTTGACATTTTAGGTCAATTTTAAAACTACGTTCGTGTGGGAAATAACCCGTTTTCCCAACAATTGGCATTAGAGCTTCGGTTGAGGTTATCCTGGTGGTTCCGTTGCTGAAAAGATACAGTTTGTGATATTGAATATTGTTCGTTAGAATTAAAATGCCAAAATACGGATCAGTTGAGACATCAAGCTCTTCATCTGGACCGGTGAGGAGGGTGATGTCAAATGCAAATTTCTCGGTGGAGTTGTTCGATGGATCCGGTCATTTTGGCATGTGGATGCTTTATTCCAACAAGGTCTAGACATCACCATTGAGGAAGAAAAGCCCGAATATATGGAGGAGAAAGAATGTGGAACAATCAATCGTTTGGCGTGCAGCACGATTCGATCTTGTCTTTCCATGGAGCAGAAGTATGGCTATAAGAACGAGACTTCTGCAAGTAAGATGTGGAAAGCTTTGGAGGAAAAATTCCTGAAGAAAAGCTCTCAGAATCGTCTCCACATGAAGAAAATATTGTTCAGATTTGATTATCAACCAGACACCAGTATGAATGAACACATCACTGCGTTCAATTAGCTAGTGGAAGACTTATTGGGCATTGATGAAACCTTCAAAGATGAAGATTTGGCTTGATGTTGTTGTCATCTCTTCCAGATGAATTTGAGCACCTTGAGACAATGTTACTTCATGGTAAGGATAATGTTACCCTTAAAGATATAAATATTGCTTTGTATAGTTATGAACTCAGGAAGAAAACCAAGAAGGAGAGCAAGTACGAAGCAGCGGAGGCCATGATGGCAAGAGGTCGCTCGAAAAGTCAAAAGCCAAAGTGGAGAGAGAGATCAAAGTCGAAGTCCAGACTGGGAAAAGATGAATGTGCCTTTTGTCATGAGAAAGGCCATTGGAAGAAATATTGTCCGAAGTTTAAGAAGAAAGAAAAAGCTTCTCTAGATGTATGTGTTACAGAGCATGATGCAAATGACTCTGAAATATCATTGGTTGTTTCATCAACAACATTCCATTCAGATGAATGGATATTAGATTCGGGTTGCACCTATCATATGTCCCCTAATCAAGAGTGGTTCTCCGATTTAGTAGAACTAGATGCAAGAGTTGTTTATATGGGCAATGACAATGCCTGTAAAACTGTTGGGATATGTTCAATTCGATTGAAGAATCAAGATGGATCAACCAGAGTTCTGACGGATGTCTGATACGTGCCCAGTTTGAAGAAAAATCTCATCTTGTTGGGAGCCTTGGAATCCAAAGGCTCAGTAGTCGCTATGAGAGATGGAGTTTTAAAAGTCACATATGGCGCACTTGTGATGATGAAGGGCATCAGGAAAAATAATTTGTATTACTATCAAGGTAGTACAATTATTGGAGCAGTTACAGCAGCTTCCGGAGGTGATGATTTAGACGTAACCCAGTTGTGGCATATGCGATTGGAACATGCTGGAGAGAAATCCTTGCAAATTCTGGCAAAGAAAGGATTGTTGAAAGGTGAAAAGGCTTGCAAATTGAACTTTTGCGAGCATTGTGTTCTGGGAAAGAAGAAGAGAGTGAAGTTTGGCACTACTATACATAATACAAAAGGTATTATAGATTATATTCACTGAGATATATGAGGTCCTTTAAAGACATCGTCTTTGGGAGGAAACCATTATTTTGTAACTTTTGTAGATAACTTTTCCAGAAGAGTTTAGGTGTATCCGATGAAGTCTAAAGATGAAGTGCTTCAAATTTTCCTGAAATGGAAAAATATGATTGAGAACCAGACTGGTAGAAAGATCAAACGTCTTAGGACGGATAATGGAGGGGAATATAAAAGTGACTCATTCTTTGACGTTTGTCATGAGTATGGTATTGTTCGACACTTCACTATTAGACATACACCACAACAGAATGGGGTGGCAGAGCGTATGAACCGAACACTATTGGAGAAAGTTCGATGTATGTTATCTAATGCTGGGTTAGGCAAAGCATTTTGGGCTGAGGCTGTGACATATGCTGGCCATCTCATCAATCGTCTGTCGTCACCAGCAATAGGAGGAAAAACACCATTGGAGGTATGGTCTAGAAAACCTGCTACTGATTATGATTCCTTACATGTATTTGGATCCACTGCTTATTATCATATGAAGGAATCCAAGCTTGGTCCGAGATCAAAGAAGGCTCTCTTTATGGGAATCACCCATGGAGTGAAGGGATTTCGCCTTTGGTGTTTAGACACCAAGAAGATAATTTGTAGCAGAGATATTACCTTTGATGAATCTGCCCTAGTAAAGAAGGTAACAAATGAAGCTGTCTAGACAAGTAGTACTTCGCAGCAGGTGGAGCATACTCCAAAACAGATGGAGTTTCAACAGAAGATGATCCCAGAAGTTGATGCAGCTGATTCTTCAACTCCAATAGAAGAATCAGAAGATGAAGAGGTTCAAACCCAAGAACTGTTGGAGACACCAGAACCACTTGCAGTTACAAGGCCAAGGAGAGAAATTCGTAGACCTGCTTGATTTGTTGATATGGTGGCCTATGCTCTTCCAGTTGTTGATGATGATATCCCTATCACTTACCAAGAAACAATACAAAGCTTGGAAAGTGATAAGTGGAAAAGTGCCATGGATGAAGAAATGCAATCCCTCCAAAAGAACAACACTTGTAAACTGGCACAATTACCGAAAGGTAAAAGAGCCATTGGATGCAAGTGGGTATTTGTAAAGAAAGATGGATCTCATAGCAAGAAAGATGTTCGCTACAAGGTACGGTTGGTAGCTAAAGGCTACTCTCAAAAGGAGGGAATCGACTACAATGAAGTATTTTCCCCTGTTGTGAAGCATTCCTCCATTAGAATATTGTTGGCCTTGGTAGCACAGTTGAATTTGGAGCTAGCTCAACTTGATGTAAAGATGGCTTTCTTGCACGGTGATTTAGAAGAGGAGATCTATATGACTCAGCCAGAAGGATACAAAGATGGTGGTTGTGAGAAATGGGTTTGTAAGTTGAACAAATCGCTATATGGATTGAACCAATCTCCGAGGCAGTGGTACAAGCGATTTGATAGCTTTATGAGGAGGCAAAAGTATACTAGAAGCAAATATGATCATTGTGTGTATTTGCAAAAGCTCAAAGATGGATCTTTCATTTATCTTCTCTTGTACGTTGATGATATGTTGATCGCTTCGAAGAGTCAAAAGGAGATAGACAAATTAAAGGCTCAGTTGAATCAAGAGTTTGAGATGAAAGATCTAGGTGAGGCCAAGAAGATTCTTGGTATGGAGATAAGCAGAGATAGACAGAGAGGGAAGCTTTGTTTAACACAGAAGCAGTATCTGAGAAAGGTATTACAATGTTTTGGCATGAATGAAAATACCAAACATGTAAGTATCTCATTGACTTCTCATTTGAAACTTAGTTCTCAATTATCTCTTAAAACTAACGAAGAACTAGTGTATATGGCAAAAGTTCCATATGCTAATGCATTTGGGAGCTTGATGTATGCAATGATGTGTACGCGTCCTGACATTTCACAAGCAGTTGGAGTTGTGAGCAGGTACATACATGATCCTGGATAAGGACATTGGTAAGCTGTGAAATGGATTCTATGGTATCTTCAACAAACCGTGGATGTTGGTTTAGTTTTTGAACAGGATGAAGCACTTGGTCAGTGTGTGGTTGGATATGTTGATTCCGATTATGCTGGTGATTTGGATAAGCGTCGATCAACTACTGGGTATTTGTTTACTCTTGCTAAATCCCCAGTAAGTTGGAAGTCTACATTGCAATCTACGGTGGCCTTGTCTACTACAGAGGCAGAATACATGGCAGTTTCAGAGGCTGTAAAGGAAGCAATTTGGCTTAACGGGTTGATGGAAGACTTGGGAGTTGTTCAAAGTCACATTAGTCTCTATTGTGACAGTCAGAGCACTATTCGCTTAGCGAAAAATCAAGTCTACCATTCAAGGACTAAGCATATCGACGTGAGGTATCACTTTATGCGGGAGATCTTTGAAGAAGGAAAGATTCTACTTCAGAAAATTACGACATCAGAAAATCCTACAGATATGATGACCAAGGTGGTAACAGTAATCAAGTTCAATCATTGTTTGAACTTGATTAACATCCTGAAAGTATGAACACCTTCGGGTGTGTGGCGCTTGTGAGCGCAATTAGAGGCACTACAAATTTGGGGAGTTGAAGAAGTTGAGTAGGCTTGGTAATTTCAAGCCAAGGTGGAGATTTGTTAGATTTGTCTAGAAATTAAGTTGACAAGTTAGAAATTTCATCTTGGTTGGTGGCCAACTTATTGGAAATTTCATCTTGGTTGGTGGCCAAACTTTAAACATGTGAATTTTGATATTTGGTGGCTAACTTGTACACATTAGAAAATTCTTTGGTAGGTGGCCAAACTTTGAACATATTGTTCTTAAAACTCAACTATAAATAGGCCTAAGTATTTCCATTAGAAATCCCAAAAACAAGTTCTCTCTTCCTCTTGTATTCTTCATTCTCCCACTTTGGGAATTCTAAAGAATTCCATTTGTTGTAATATTGGCGATATAGTGAAGTTATCATCCGGTGTGGTGCCCGAGGAGTATACGATATTCTCGTCGAACCTCGTAAATTTGGTGTGTTCTCTCCTTTATTGTTTTTATTCGGTTCTTTTCCATTGTGTTTCAATATTCAATAGTTTGATAGGTTTATCCGTTGTGCAACCTTTGGTGGTTTTAATCTTGACATTTTAGGTCAATTTTAAAACTACGTTCGTGTGGGAAATAACCCGTTTTCCCAACAAATACCACATTCTCGGTGCTTGTCTGTTGAGAAGTTGAATAAGAAGAAGTGAATAGCATCTGTTTTTTTTATTATTGCTTTACTGTAACTATAGCACAACTAGTTTATATAGTAGTCATGTCTTCAAGTTTACTCAATCTCACAACTACTTATAACAACATCCATAACAAACTTCATACGTCACTATTCTTAACAACCATAACAACTCACACACACAGTAAAGCTCACTCAATGCACACATTAGCATTCTACACACTCCAATATTCTCCCTACTCTTTTCCTTTTCCTTGAGCAAATGATAAAACCTGCACTTTGGGTCAAAATTGTTCAAACAAAGATTTGGACAATGATTTAGTAAATCATTTGTTCTAGTTGAATCGAAAGTGTGATGCCTCCTTTCGTTCGACTTGAATCAGAAGTACGATGCCTCCTTCCGTTCTACTTGAATCGAAAGTGCGATGCCTCATTCCGTTCGACTTGAATCAGAAGTGCGATTCTTCCTTCCGTTCAACTTGAATCGATGCAAACTTTTTGATGTGAATGGACATTAAAAAATTTCTAAAAAAATCTATTCTATAACAATGTGAAACAAACCAGACACCAGCAACATCATTGACACATTTGGTCGAACAGATTGAAAGCATGACCATATGAACCGTGGTTAGGATCAACCGCTTTTCCTTGAGCAAGATTGGCACTCATCAAAAGTTTCTCAACTTGAGTATCAAACTCAACAAGTTGGGTTTCGACATCAGCAAGCACAATACATAAGTTTTCCAGGGAAAGTGATTCCCTCATGGCAATTATAACAGCCACAAATGGCTGGTATTCACACGACAACCCCTTCAAAATACTGATCACATGCTCCATCGACAGAATCGGACTTACGCAGAAGGCAAGAGCATCGCACACCTCTTTAATTCGAGTAAGGTAAACCCGCATTGTATCACTACCCTTCTTGAGCGATTGAAGTTTATAATGGAGGCTCATTACTATTGTTGTCGACCGGTTTGCAAATCCATTTTGCTTCAGGATCTCAGCTATGGTGACAACAGTAGGAATAGCCATTCCTAAGCTGCAAAGTTCAACCTCGTTGAACTCATTGATGTACCACTTGGCATCCATATAGAAAACGAAGGGCTTCTTGGTGATAGAGACTTGCACCTCCTTCTTTTGTTTCTTTTTCTTATCATTCTTCATGCTCTTGGTCTCTTGGACTTACTCGAATTGATAGCGGCTTCGCTCTTTGTTACTATTGATAGGGGTGTTGAATTGAACTTCTTCAACCCTTAGTAATTCCATACATTAATGTCATTAATTCAAATAAGTTCTGCATAAAGTTATGTACTAGAGTTTGGTCAGGCATAAATGTGAGATATTTTTTTTGTATACAAAATAATAAGATTCAAAGAGTAAAAATGGGATAATATTCTGTAATTGGTCATATTCTTCTATTAGTCCTTATATCACGTGTAAATTGTGAATTTGATCTCTGTGTTTTTAATTTACTATTTTTTGTACCTATATTTGTGTAATAAGTCTCACCCGACGCCATTAAAGTCATGCTAGGCAGCTTGAAATATCAAAGCTCCAGGCAGCAGAAAAATTGAATTGAACATTTGATCGTGTAATATATTCTGCCCTTCAGTGACAAGGAAAGAATCCATAAAACTACAATTGATTCTATTTTTCTCGTCTTCAAACTGTGTCGATACCCAAAACTATTGTTGCTTATTTCCTTTAGAAACTTACTTATGGATCCACATTTTAAAGCTTATTTCATCAAAAAGTTTCCTCATTTAATTGTTTGACAACTTCGTAGAATAATTTGGAAATAATGTTTTTAATATGTTGGCTATCCTTTTCATTTTATTTCTACAATATTGACTCACCCATGAAACTATTATCGTTTCTGTTGACATGATACTGATAAATTATAGGTCTAATAGTTACTTTTACCCATGTAATAGATTTAATTCATCATACTCGTTTCTATTGTAGTTTTACATCAATTTAACCCTCAAACTTGTTTGATTTCAACATATTATATCCTGACACTAACTTAAAACCCTAAACCACAATCCCTAAGCCTTAAACCCCTAAATAGTAGTAAATATTTTAAACATCGATGCTATTGAGTAACTTCAAAGACTAAATTAATAGGGAAATATGATATGAGAAAAAAATGATAAATTAAATCTATTTCGAGAAGAAAAGTAACTCTTAACCTAAATTATAAAATTCAAAACGTAATCGAAACCATCATGTCTCAATTACGTTCTGGAACAATTCAGAACCAACAGACTAAACTCTCTGAGGAGATGATTCGAAAACGGACCATTAGCAGAACGATAGATTGTAATCTTAGTTTTACCAAATGCACAAGTTAAAAGCCCATTGATTTATGGGCATGACATTTGACTTCGCAATCGAATCAAAGTAAACAACAAATATGAAACTAACTGTCATCACTGTCGAAACAACTTATGTATATTATCAAGGACTTCTATATTTGACATGCACCTTACGTGTGAGACACTTTACGGGTTTAATTACAGTTTAGTCCCGATAAATTATAAGATTTCGGTAGCTCAATTACCCCGTAATTTCACTGACACCCCAACTTAAGCACACTATAAAAACATGATTAACACTCCAACAACCAATACCAAATCATTCAATCATTCTCCTTCCTTTTTTGAGGGGAGGTTGGATTTTCCATCTTTTTGTTTATTTCATTCATTTATTTCATTATTCCCCCCCTCCTTAAGTCACGTACCAGTGTCTCCTGCTCTTCTGTAAAGCTTGTAACTTTTTTTTCTTCTAGAGCTTCTTAAACCCTCTATATATCTTCATACTGTGTGCCCTTAAATCATATCCAGTTCTTCAGGGGGAAAAATGATGCTTAAAGGATCGTCTAGAAGATTATGGCAAAGATTTGCTGTCGGTTTGGTTCTTCTTTCTGCTGCTGCTGTTGTTCAGGCTGAGGATCCTTACAGGTTCTTCACCTGGAATGTTACGTATGGTGATATCTTCCCACTTGGGGTTCGCCAGCAGGTTTGTATGCCAATACATTATGCTTTATTGGGGTTTTTTTTATCTATATTTGACGTTAAAAATTTAACCATTTTTTTTACCAAATTTGAACACATTTAACAAAATTGTATTGTTCCATGTTACCCACAGGCAAAACGTACATGTTTCGGATATCGAATGTTGGGCTTCAGAATTCACTGGATTTCCGAATTCAGGGTCACAAAATGAAGCTGGTGGAAGTGGAGGGAACCCACACGGTTCAGACCGTCTATGAATCACTTGATGTCCATGTGGGTCAATCCTATTCCTTGCTTGTTACTATGGACCAGGCTGCCCAGGATTTCTACATTGTGGCCTCCACTCGGTTTACTGACAAGATCCTTACAACCATAGGAACTCTTCATTATGGTAACTCCAACAAGCCGGTTTCCGGGCCGATTTCTGGTGGACTGACGACCCAAATTGATTAGTCTCTTAACCAGGCTCGATCCATCAGTTAGAAGCTTGATCCAACTTATAAATTGTTCTCGGGTTAATTTCACCAAATATCCTTAAACTATACACTTAACTATAAATTGAACACTAAACTTCAAAGTATCAATTAGATCATTTCACCGACCTAATGTTAGTTCATGCTAAATGTCAGCTTGTATCAAATGGTAAACATATTTAAAATACGTATATCAAGTTTCAAACATGTGTATTTCTACTGCTTAGATAATTTGAATCTAATGTATTAAATAAATTATCATTAAAATTTAAAAATTATTTTCTTATTTGATATATCATATTCAAGCCTTTCATGTATGTTTTAAACCCGGTCCATATTAAATGTGTGAGAATGGTTGTGGGGTGGGTTAAATCGAATTTTTGATTGATTTGAGTATTATATCCTATTTAACATATGATCTAATTTTAAGGCCAAAATTTATACTCAATCTCACATATATATATATATATATATATATATATATATATATATATATATATATATATATATATATATATATATATATATATATAAATAGAGATAAAGGTAACTATATTAGTCATTCATAAATATAAAAAAATAATTATAATATTATTTCGGGTTATATTGTAAATTTGAATATGATTTTATTCTTAGAGAAAACCAATCCAATCAGAACTGAATATAAATTAAAGAAAAGAACTAATTTTATAAGATCAAAATTTTTCGGATTCGAGTAAAATAATAATGGTTAAATGTGTTAAACATTTTAACGTCCAAATTAATATCTAAACAGACAAAATGATCTCACTCATGATATTTCATTTTGGTGCACTTCAGGACTAACCTAACCGCAAGGGGACCAAGGCCAAATCCACAGGGATCATATCACTACGGTCTCATCAACTTAACCAGAACAATCATGCTAGTGAACTCAGCTGCTCGAGTCAATGGGAAGCAAAGATACGCTGTTAACAGTGTCTCTTTTGTTCCGGCTTATACACCTTTGAAACTAGCCGATTACTTCAAGATCAGAGGCGTTTTTCAAGTCAGGAGCATTTCGGATAACCCAACCGGTCAGCCAATGTACCTCGACACATCAGTTATGGGTGCCGATTTTCGAGCCTTAGTGGAAATCGTGTTTGAGAACCACGAAAGCATTGTCCAGAACTGGCATACTGATGGGTATGCCTTTTGGGTAGTCGGGTAAGAACTTATACATAACAACCACAGTCAAAATATTGTCTTCTTGCCCTAAACTTGCATTACTTTTCCATGGCATCATGGATGGAGGATTGTGGACACTGGACAGTCGTAAAGAGTACAATCTAAGAGATGCAGTTTCTCGATCGACCACACAAGTTAGAAACTTATTTAAAAACTCGAATTGATCGAATTTAGATTAACTCAACTCAACAACGGGTGGTATTTAGAGGTGTATCCTAGATCATGGACTGCTATTTAAATGGCTCTTGATAATGTTGGAATGTGAAATGTGAGGAGTGAATTTTGGGCACGGCAATATCTTGGGCAGCAATTTTACTTGCGAGTGTATTCACCCGTGCACGACTCAAAAGGCATACCCCAGAAGACCCTCCTGAAACATTTTACCTATCTTAAGACGTTTTTGGTATCAAGAAGATTGTAATATGAAATACAAGACGTCATAAATATTAAAATTTGAATTCTAAATCTTCCGATCATACTATCGTTTTTCTGTTAAGAGAGATGAAACTATAACTCTCGAGTTTTCAGTCAAATTCACAATTGTAATGGCAGTTCCACACCTAAGGTAGGGTGGACAAGTACCCACACTGAAATTCAAAATTTCTTGTCTGCTACTTGTTTTATTGATTGTATATCCTAAAACTTTATTTGTACACACTCGGATACAAAAGTTTTATGTGGTTAAATATGTGCTCTCATCCTCAAAAATATTTGTCGATCTACATTACTAATTTACATTTGTTTATCGATTGGTTTAACAAGAAACCTTTGCATCCGACTCGGGAAACTATAAAGAATATGATATGCCGGAAAAGGCCAATGAGGTCGATGAAATATGCTTCTTTGTTTCTATCATACCCCAGAAAAAGTCGAGAGAACGTAAGAAACTGTTTTAAAAACAAGGGGTCAAAACTGCATCGGAATTACATATTCCGGCTAATAGCGTACAAGACAGTAAAATTTCTTGCACATTGGAGCTCCTCAACGGCAATTTCTATAGTTTTCCTACTTCTTTCCAGATAGGTAGTTGACATTACAACTCACTACTTATATATATGCTCAAAAACCAAATGTTTCCACTCAAATGTGAGTTTGAAATACTCTACCAAGCACCATATTTACACTGTAATGAGGTAGATGGAGATGTCAAAAGAAATGTCTTTTAAAGAGAGGCAATCAGGCAAAATTGTCAGGAATAAGAATTCCAAAAATGCATGATAAACAAAATTGTCATTAGGCTCCAATACCACCTGAGCATCAGTCTGTTATATCCTAAAGAGGAGCAATTCCTAAATCCATAACACCATAACACGAGTTTGTTGCATCATATGCATATCAACTTAACGGATGAAAACCAATTCATGAGAAAATTATTTTGGCAATGTCCCAACCCGAAAAATGAGGTAGAACTCGTTCACATATGATATCACAGCAATATTCCATAATCTCATTATGTAAGGAACCATCTTGGTTAACTCATCCTTACAATTAAAAAGAAGAACGTGTATTGATTTTCATCGATGCTCCTAGTCACAGGTAAAAAAAATATCCTTCAACTAAGGGATTACGTTATGGTACGGTCATTAAAACAAATAAGATGGTTATTGCACATTAACTTGGCCAAATTGGAAGAATGATGGGCATCATTTTAGTGCACATGCTTTATGATGTTCAGCATTTAACAAGAAAAACCTTTCAATATTTAATTATATGCATGAAGACTTAACCACTAGACTGTATGATAAATACCATTTCATATAATTACTGTTACCTCATTTCTTATTTAATCAATATTCCACTTGAACATGCAACTTCAGTTTCTAATCTTCCCAAAGGCCTCAAGGCCACAAAAAGAGCCATTCAGCAATATTGTTGACACATATCATTGAAGAATTTATCAGATTTGTCCATGGAAAAACAAACAGCAGTATCCCATTAAATTTGAAGAGCATTCCAGTGAACAAACCAAATTGACCTAGATACCAAAAACTAACACTAAGACGCAAGCTTCATTAGACCTTTACAGTCATTGAAACAATTTAATTGAGGCATTCCTAATTCATCCTTTGAAAAAGCAATTATCTTCAACTAGATTCACATGGATACATATGACACACTTCCATGTAAACAAGCAATAACAAACAGTTGAGTAACAAAATAGGATTTAAAATGTAGGATATCACCTTTAAAAAAAAATTAATATCAATGGATAATTCAGAAGCGTATTGTGATTTTAGTCAAACTCGCATATCATGTGCAATTTTCATTAATGAATGGTAGACCTCCCGCATGGTCTATTATATAATCCATGCCAAGTACTATTTCTCTTCATGTACATCAGTCAATCTTTTCTGACCCTTGACAAAAGTTAAATAGAAAATTGGGCACCAATCATAGTTAAACTAACTAAACAGCAGATGTAAGATCCTGAACAGTAATAACAAGTAGCAAGCATTATTTGATCACTAGCGTTTCATTCAGTTTTATGCACAAAGCAAACATTGAATATATAGAAGGCCAGAAACCCCATAAGTTTATAAACAAAGAACACGCCTGCTATTCTAGCCTGAGAAAATTTTTGAAGTGATCACTCGGCAACCTGCAAACAAAAAATGAAAAATAGTTAAACAATCATAAGCACTGGCGAATAGCAATTGTTTATTGGTAGTCAACAAAAGCAACACACAGGATCCATTTCAACTCAGCTGAGGGCATCGACCCAGCATTAGTTCAAAGTTGGTAATAAACTTGCCTGGTTTAGTGGATTATCAGGAGATTTCTTCCAAAGTTTCCATATCATATCCTTGTATTGAGTGTGAGTAAGACCCGGCTTCTCTTCTTTAAGCCTGGGAAACTCAGCTTCTTCAAATGCCTACATTCATTCATTGAAATAATTCAGTACTATTATTTAGATAAAGATTAAGGCACAAAATTATACTACCTTCTAAATCTAATTAAGAGAGCAATTGAAAGTTACGAAAAGCAAGTATGGAAGCGCGTATAATGAACCTTGAAGGAAGCCTTAAGCCGTTTCTCTGGGTGGCGATCCGTTGGTAGGTTGTCCGCCACAGACATCTGCGCAATTGCCTCTTCCACGCTCCTTGCTTCAACCAACGAATCATCCCTATTCGTGTTTGTCACCAACACCATCCTCTCATACTCTTCCTCCGCCGCAGTCCTATTCTGCTTCTTCTTCGTCTCCTCCGCTTTCTTCGCCATCTCCGCCTGCTGCTCCTCTCTCCGCTTCTGTAGCTCCGCTTCCGTCACCTTCGGCACCGGAATCGCCACACGATTCGCCTTCTTATCTGGTTTCTTCAAAGCTTTTTCGATCTCCTTCTCCTCCATCTCGGCCTGACGGCGAGCCTCAGCCCGGCGAGCGGCGGCTTCAACCCGTTTCTCGGCTTCTTCCTCGCGTTTCTTGGCCGCCCTAGATTTAGAACCCTCGGCTTCTCGCCAGTATTGCTCTTCTTTCTCCCGGGCTTCCCGATCTTTGCGTTCAGATTCGACGGCGCTCTTGCGCTCACGCGCTGCCTCGGCTTTGCTGTTTACACCCATCTTCTTCGGCATCTTGTAATGAATTTCAGCGTCAGTGAAAATATTCAATAGAAGGAACAGAGGATTAAGCTTTACCCAACCCAACAATCAAAATATAGCACCCAGCTTTTACGATTGTTCCTTTCAGGCTAATATACGAAACAAGCCCTCAAACTACTGTGCGATTTTTAAACAAGCCTTTATATTTATTTTATAGCTAAAAACCCTATTTGTTTTTTAATTTTACCATTAAAATCCTTATTTTTAATTGAAATGCTTCTGTATGCTAACAAATAGTTATATGCTTATATATGTCACAAATTTATTATTTATTTAATAAAATATTTTAATAGTTATAAAAAAGTATTTTGTATCCATAAAATAAAAACAAAAACTGTTTTAAATTAAATTCAAGAATTATATATTCATACAATTACAATTAAGGATATGTATTTTATCTTAGTTCGATGAATTTTGATTTAATTTAATATGATGGATTAATCTTTTAAAAAAAGAATTCAGGTTTGGATTGGATTAAATTCACATTTGAGATTAAAAAAACCTTGATCTAACTTGATACGATATAATGTTATAATTATCTCTTATATATTTTATAAATAATTATAATAAATCATCTCTATATTATTATTTTTCAATTAGATCATCATTTTAAATTATAAAATGAATTTATATATATATGATTGGACAAAATAAAATATAAGTTTTTATCTAAAAGATAAATTAGTTTTGAATTGAATAAATTCTTTTAAACTCGGATCAAATCAAATATGAATTGAGAGATTTACTTTTCAGGTCGAATTACTATAATTGTTATTTGTTCAACTATAATTATTATTATAAAGTTGTTATTATATTTATTAGACTTTATCTATTGAATTTTTAATTTTAATATAATAATAAAATCATGTTATAATATCTAAGTATAAAATAATTTAAAATAATAGCTATTGTTTATTTTAAATTAAATTAATCAAAATTGTAATAAAATTGTAATTTAATATGCATATAAAGTTAAATTTAATATTTATTGAATTCTGTCTACTTAGATTCAATATTTAGTTTTGCTATAATGAAATATTTTAAATTATAATTTAAGATAACTATAAAGTATAATTTATATTAATTTACTTACCTATATTCAATAAATATTATTTACATGAGAAGACAATTTAATAGATAAAGTTTAATAAATATAATAACAATTATATTAATTTGAGATCACGCTTTAATTGTAATTGAATTTTTAAAATTTATAGATAAACAGTATTATTAATTATTCTTGTTATGTGAAATAAATAAAATATTAAATGCATAAATACATGTACTGGAGACGTGATGAAAGAAATTAATTGCTGGGGTAAAGATGTGGGCTTCTACAACGTTATCCTGGGTGGCTAAATTGTCCCATAACCGACCCTAAAACAAAAAAAAAAAAATAAGATTTCAGGGCACATTGATTTTTAATTAAATATCTACGACATTTATTATAGCACGTCACCTCGTGGTGATCAGTTTCATGAAATATTATTTTTTATTGTGTGCATATTATTTTATTTTTTAAAAAACTAGTCACCTCGAGTTGATTAGTTTTTTTAAAAATAAAATAATATGAACACAATAAAAAATGAGATGACAAGTTCCGTTAAAATATTATTAATTTTTTTAGTAATATACTTAAAATTATAATTGAAAAAAATGTTGGAACTCGTCACCTCAAAGTGACAAATTCAATTGGATTTGAATAGATAGTCGTTTTATAGCAGCTGTAACTCGTCCTGAGGGACTGACAAGTTTCAATGATCATTTTGCGAATATTTTATCTATAAATAGGAGTTTGATTAGCAATTTTGAATAGACTTATTGTGGAACTTTGATATCATGCATACAAGTTGTCTTGATGAAGAAATATTTCAATAAAGTCGATTCTGAAGAGATGAGGATAAAGTTCGTCTTCAGATGAGGAGGGTGATGAATAAATGATGAATGAATGAATGAATGAATGAATGAATGAATGAATGAATGAATGAATGAATGAATGAATGAATGAATGAATGAATGAATGAATGAATGAATGAATGAATGAATGAATGAATGAATGAATGAATGAATGAATGAATGAATGAATGAATGAATGAATGAATGAATGAATGAATGAATGAATGAATGAATGAATGAATGAATGAATGAATGAATGAATGAATGAATGATGAATGAATGAATGAATGAATGAATGAATGAATGAATGAATGAATGAATGAATGAATGAATGAATGAATGAATGAATGAATGAATGAATGAATGAATGATGAATGAATGAAATGAATGAATGAATGAATGAATGAATGAATGAATGAATGAATGAATGAATGATGAATGAATGAATGAATGAATGAATGAATGAATGAATGAATGAATGAATGAATGAATGAATGAATGAATGAATGAATGAATGAATGAATGAATGAATGAATGAATGAATGAATGAATGAATGAATGAATGAATGAATGAATGAATGAATGAATGATGAATGAATGAATGAATGAATGAATGAATGAATGAATGAATGAATGAATGATGAATGAATGAATGAATGAATGAATGAATGAATGAATGAATGAATGAATGAATGAATGAATGAATGAATGAATGAATGAATGAATGAATGAATGAATGAATGAATGAATGATGAATGAATGAATGAATGAATGAATGAATGAATGAATGAATGAATGAATGAATGAATGAATGAATGAATGAATGAATGAATGAATGAATGAATGAATGAATGAATGAATGAATGAATGAATGAATGAATGAATGAATGAATGAATGAATGAATGAATGAATGAATGAATGAATGAATGAATGAATGAATGAATGAATGAATGAATGAATGAATGAATGAATGAATGAATGAATGAATGAATGAATGAATGAATGAATGAATGAATGAATGAATGAATGAATGAATGAATGAATGAATGAATGAATGAATGAATGAATGAATGAATGAATGAATGAATGAATGAATGAATGAATGAATGAATGAATGAATGAATGAATGAATGAATGAATGAATGAATGAATGAATGAATGAATGAATGAATGAATGAATGAATAATGAAGACTTAAAAAACCGATGCAACAAATGACTTATCGAGAGGAAGAAGAAGATGAAAAGTTGTTTATTTTGTTGAAAAAAAATAATTTAAATATATGCATGAATTTGAGTTTAGTTAAATATATGGTTATTGATATTGATAAATTATTCAAAACATGTACAACAGACAACATTTGAAGCAATACAAATACAAAGGTTTATCGGCCCGGTCGATATTTTAGAAGATGTGAATAGGGACGGACATGATTTTATGTTAATGGGGGCGATTTTAACTTATAAAATTTTAGGGGACAAATAAAATTTTAGGGGAGGCGAAAACATAATTTCAATATAAAATATATAGAAAAATCTAAAATATACGGTAATTTTAGATTTTTAGGGGTCCATCCCTGGATGTGGATATTTATTCCTGGTGTGGCCTTCACCTCTATAGTGGCTACAAAGCTTTGGTAGACCTTTATCTTGTTGTGGATCATCCATATCAGTATGAATTCGACTAGATTTAGGACCACCCTTGAACTTTCTTCGTAATTGTGGAATGGGCAACCATTCATCAGAAATAGTTGGTGGTCAATATGTAGCGTTTAGGAGATACTTAAATTCATAATTATATATGTTGCACATAATATGCAAGCTATAACAATCATCAACGTATGAGTATGGGTCTACATTGACATACATACATGCAACAATCGTGTGAACGCATGGGTATATGAAGGCTTAAAATCGACCACAGTCACACCATCTTCTATTCAAATTACCAGTGTATGTGGTAAAATTCCTACCCTCTTGTGGTCAAACAAGTGCTTGGACAACGTAATCAAAATCGAGTCTGGCGAAATTAGGAAGATATATCGATGTTGCATGTGTTTGATTTTTGTTCATTGCTTTCTCTAGATCTTGAGCCCAATTTATGCCTTCGTTGATCATTTCCTTTACTTGGGCACATTTGTCTACCCATAGTTTACCCAATCTGAAGTAAGTCTCCCGAAAAATACTTGCCACCGGAAGATGTCTAGTCTCTTTAAGTACTGAATTGATACATTCAGCAAGATTGGTTGTCATAAGACCGTAATGTCGACCCTGATCGTCATATTCCTATGACCATCTTTCTCGAGGTATTTCAGTTGCAAAGTTAAAAATCTATTGTCTATATTACCTCAGATTTTCCAGCCTTCCTCGGAAGTTCAACTGAACTAAATCGTATCCTGAAAAAAGTTAAATTTAAGTATAACAATAAATGAATAACATAAATGAAGAAAAAAGAATAAGTTATCATGTTGATAATCTCTTTCTTGATATTCTTATTCTTAAACCTCGTCATAACATTTGAGGCGATATAACATATGTAATACACCGATAATGCATGAGAGGCGACCACTTACTTTCCCGTCTTTTAATCGTGGCCAACAACCCTGGTGAACGATCAGAGATCATACAACCCTCAGCTTGAGTGACAACATGGGAGCACAATTTTGATAGAAAGAAATTCAATGTTTCTTCTGACTCATTTTTAACAACGGTAAAGGCAATGAGGACAATGTTTCTGTCACTATCTTGTGCAACAACTATCATTAGGATGTGCTTGTATACGCCATATAGAAAAATAATATCCACTTGAACAATTTGTTTGCAGTAACAAAAACCTTCAACGAATGACTTGAAAGCCCAAAACAAGCCTCCAAAAACTCTCTTCCATGGGATACATGTTCATCAAACGTGGTTACATTATAGGTTTAAGAACAAACAATGGTTTCTGGGATGAAGAATTTCATTGCGTGCAACAGATATGGAAGCTCATTGTACGACTTATCCCAATCACCGTATAATAGTGTCATAATTTTCTTTTTCACCATCCACATCTTGTAGTAAGATGGAATATAACCAAATGTATTCCGAATTGATGCCACTATCATTGAAATTGAGATCATTTCATTTTTCTCCACCAAAAGCTTAATGTATACACGTATGACATCAAAATCTAAGTGTTTGTGGTCTTGTGTCAATGACTTCAACATACAACTGTGCTAGTTGTAAAACCTTGTGACTTCCTACAACATCTTCCGTTATAGGTATGACACACGTATCCTCCACTTACATCAAACATTGTTATGTATACACTTGATAAGGTATGTCTTTTGATCAGACTCATTAACAATGAATTTCATATGAGATTTTAGAAAGAAAAAAACTCCTTAACTGCTAGTTGAGCATCCTTTTTAGTTTCAAACTGCAACCCAACTACCAACTCTGTTGATCATTCTTCCAATGTACCCCAGTGGGCTACGCATATCCCCGTCATATCATGAATCTTATGATTATTCACGGCATCATAGTTTATATCATGCATTATAAATGAATGATGATAGTGAGGTATTTGGGGTTACGACATTTTGGGTTAATTGGGTGTTGTTGAATGTGCCCAACCTTGTTGAGGATTCGGGTGTCCATGACCATGAGAAACCGCTGCCTCCTAGACATCACCCTCAATATCAAAATCTTGGCTGTAACATCCCAAAATCATGGCTAGTGACTAAAATGTAAGTTTTAAAACTTTGAGGTCTACTTTTGAAAAATTAAAAAAGTTTAAGGACTTAGTTGGTAATTTATTTGAGGGAATGGATTAGTAAAGATAAAAATGTTTAAGGGCATAATGGTTATTTGATAGGAAATGAATTTAAAATTTATTTATTGGGTATTATAATTACATGTGGAAGAGTAAAAAAGGGATAATGATATCCAGAAAATTCTCTTTATCTTTCTTCTTCTCCACGGTGACTCCATGGCTGGGGTGAGAAATTTTTCTAGTTGGTTAATTCTTGCATTTTAGTCATGGTTCTGATTCTTAAGGTACTAGGAAAGCTTAAAACGGTTTAAAACTCAAGGATGGATAAGTTATATAAGAGATTGAATTTAAGGAGTTTTTAAGTGAATTATTGAAAGAGAGTTTGTAAATGAATTTAGAAGTCATATTTGACTTGTTATCAGTTAGAATAAAGTTAAAAGTTTAGTAAGATTTTTAATTGTAACTGTTATGGTGAGTTATTGGATGTTAAGATAAGTTAAAGTGAGATAAGAAGATTTGAATAAGTATAGTTAAGTCTCAAGGGTTAAAAAAGAGGTTATAAAAGGATATTTAAGTGAGTTTGGTGAAATTTTTGGGTTAAATAAATAAGTTATGGGCATGGGGTATCGGTACTGTTCATCCAGTACCGATACTTCAAAGCAAAATGAGCATATTTTAGCTTGGGATATCGGTACTAAAGGAATAGTATCGATACCATAAGATATAAGATGATGAAATCTGTAA